TAGTGGGTCGGAGGGGCGTGGTGCGGGGCGCGAGCGTTGAGGTGCGAGGCCACGGTAATAACGGCCGTGTCGTGGCCGGGGGTGGTGCTGGAGGGGGGGGGGATGGAAGTGTGGGGAGGGGGGAGTCTGCCGTGCGAGTTCGCGTGCCTCGCGTTGCGAGGCGACCGGAGGAAGGCGGCTGACCGGGCGGCGGCGGGCGGCGGGCGGGTGGGGCGGCCGGACCGTTGGAGGTGCCCGCGCCAGGCTGGCGTCGCCGACGCGTTACGCGAACGTGCAAGGTCAAGAACAAGGCCTAGAGGCCATAGGGCCTCGGCGCGCCGCCCGGCCGCCCTGGCGCCCCTGAGCCTTGGAGCACTTGCGGGCCGCTCTCCGCGCGGCCAATCCCTGCAACGCCTACCCATTGCACGCTGTTGTCTGTTCGCAATCGATATCGCAGGCACCCAATCCGTTTATTCCACATTGAATAGGGAATGGCTATCCGAGAAGACCAACGAAACTTCATGATAACCAACATAGCGCTAATTTATACCAAGCGTGTAGTTCCTTGTGGGGCCAATATATATGTTAGAGGTATCCCATGTAATTTACCGAACATGGTGTATAAAGGCTATATATTGGTTGTACCGGCTCATTCCTTCTTTCGCTGACTTACTTTTCTTGACTGCCGATGCATCTTCCTCCTCCCTCAGACCCTGATTGTTAAACAACTTTGATAATGCAGCTACACCTTCTCCTTGAGAAAACGGAGGATGGAGGGAGACGAGAGAGAGGAGGAGGGAGAGAGAGAAGAGAGAAGAGAGAAGAGCGAGAGAGAGAATTAGAAGAGAGAGAGTACGAAGCTCCATTCATGCTATCGAAACTGTCTCTCTATCGCGACTGATAGCTCTCTAATGTAGCCGGGTCATTGTGCTCACACATACAACCTTTGTTAGCATTATTTCTCTTTCTTGGTAGTTTTTATTAGATGGTTATTCTATTATTGTGCGAATTGCAAGTTTCAGTATACACCGGATAACTAATATGAATATAGTGGAAAAGTATTCGTAAATCAGTAGGACACGTGATTTGTGTCTGGAAATATAAAAAGCTGGATTTGTGTAGTACGATAATTTTATAATTTTTCAAAATTTTTGGGATGATTGTCATTTTGTTTTTGAAAGGTAGCTCTGTTCTTAAGTTGATTAAAGAACTATTTATTTTCATCAAATGATTGGGTTGTGATCTTTGTGGTCTAAGGGTAAAAGTGTCGTGATTCTTTTATTGAGGTACATGGAAGGCATAGGTTACTTTTTTATTTCGTCTTTGTTATTAGATTGCTTATGTTTATTTATGTGAAAAAGAAAGGGGAATGTCTTTCTATTTGGTTGTGGTGTTTGTTCCATGTTAGGTTCTTGTAAGTTGCACCATCTTGTATTTAGATTTTCTTAGGTAGATTGTTGTATCTTTGTTTTTAACTTGAATGATACGTGCATTGTGGATTGTAACATTTTGTGCTGTTTCAAACCTGTAATGTCTTTGAATCGAGCTTTGAATGTAGGATTGTTACCGAAATAGTGTGTCATATTTAAGTATCTATAGATCTTATTTTTTAGATTATGTATAGGTTATTGGTTTATATCAGTTGTCCTTATAAATCACAGTTTTTCATGGTGTTCCCTTACGGATTGGGTTTTATTATATTAACTAGTATATTAAATATTCTAGTTTGAATATGATATAACTCAATTATTTGTGAGCTTTAATAGATGCCATCCTTTTGTGTAGCGTGTCGCTTTAACTTCGTGTGTATCTTGAATTAAATCTTAGTACTGTCATTGTTGTGCTAGTGGGCCTAGTCAATGATGGTGGTTGTGCAGTTTTTTGAAAAAGTTATTAAATTCCATGATGTCCATAGTACAATGTTTTTGTTTATCATATACATTGCTTTCAAG